AAAATGAAAAAAAAAAATCCGTTAGACCTTCCAAAAGTATTTGGATCTCTAATGATAACTTTGTGTTGTCTTCAGGAACTCAAAAACCAACCAAAGTAAAAAGAAAGGACCTCGCACTCCTAGTCCACCCCCTCCTTTACAGGAAGATATTGCTCTGGGGAAAAAATATAAAGAAAAGTATAAAGTAAAAGATAGGATAGAAGAAAAACCAAGAGATGGAAAGGACAGAGGACGGGATTTTGAAAGACAAAGAGAAAAAAGAGACAAGCCCAGGTAAGGAGGATTCTGAATTGTTGACAGCCTTACTTTTTGTAGAATCTAAAATACTTATTCAGGAGCTCTTAGGCATTATTGTAATGGGTTTTTTAGTGATATTAAACTGTTTATATATACTTAATAATTCCCATGTTGAGTTATGGATAATCCAGTAAATATTAACTTAAAATTTTTTATTGTGATTAAAAAAAAACAATTTCCTATCTTCATTTTTAAGTGTACAGTTCAGTAGTGTTAACTATATTCACATTGTCATGAAACACATCTCCAGAACTTTTTCATCTTACAAATCTGAAACTCTAGACCAGTGGTTCTCAACCTTCTGGCCCTTTAAATACAGTTCCTCATGTTGTGATCCAACCATAATTATTTTCATTGCTACTTCATAACTGTAATGTTGCTACTGTTAGGAATCGTAATGTAAATACCTGATATGCAGGATGGTCTTAGGCGACCCCTGTGAAAGGGTCGTTCGACCGCCTAAGGGGTCGCGACCCACAGGTTGAGAACTACTCTAGACCCATTAAAAAACTCCCTTTCCCTCTCTCCTTGCTCTCAACTTCTCAGCCCCTAGTAACCACTATTCTGCTTCCTATTTCTATTAATCTAACCACGTTAGATACTTCATATAAATGGAATAATTTTGTCTTTTTGTGACTGGCTTAGCATAATGTCTTAGGAGTTCATCCATGTTGAAGTGTGTGACAGGATTGCCTTCCTTTTTTAAGCTGAGTGATAGTTCATTGTCGCATATACCAAATTTGTTTATCCATTCATCTCTCGATGGACATATGGATCGCTTCTGTCTCCCGGCTATTGTGAATAGTGCTATTATGAATATGGGTTTAGCATGTTGATCTTCTGGTTCACAAAATTTATGAAATGTTTACAGATTGGATAGGGATATTTTATCCTTATTAATATTTTAAATTCATTTTCAAATTCTTTCATGAAACTAATATTTCCTCAAGAAAATATATAACTCTAGAGACCTCTTAGTCTCTATTCTTTTTGAGTTACAGTGTAATAGAAAATGCACAAACCTTCAATTTGCACAAACAGGAACTAGTATCTTGGCTCTGCCAGTTACTTGATGTGAGACCCTGAGTAAGGTATTTGTTTTCTCAGAGCCTCTATTTATTCCACTGTAAAATATGCATGATACTGCCTCATAGGGTTGAGGTGAGAATTAAATGAGATAAAGCTTAAAAATATTAGCAGTGCTCAATAAATATACTCCTTATCTTTGTACTTCAGTAATAATTTACCACATAGTAATATTTAAATATGCCTTTCCATTTGCAGGTTTTCACTTAAACTAATACTTAATCGAATGTTGCCATAAAATTATTTAGTTTTTCTAATTTTTGGTCTTCTTTTTCTAACTGTTACTGATGCAGTATTGTTAGATTTAGAATCAGCTTTTAGAAATAAGGATTCATGCCCAAACTTTGCTGCACATTGGAATCACCTGAGTGCCTTTAATATGTATTGATACCTAATTCCATTCCCGGGTATTCCAATTTATTTAGTATGGGTTGCTACATCAGTATCCAGATTTTTAAAAGCTCACTAGAATTCCAGTGTTCAGCAAAGGTTGGGAATCATAAATTGTGATTTATTGTCTCATTTAAAGAAGGTCAGAGGGAGGTGGGTCTGAGACTGATAGACTATTCCTCAGTGTCATGACACTGGATTCCTTGTGCATGCTCACTTTTTAAGCAAAAGGTTAGATATCTCATGGTTAAATATGACTGTTAACACTGTAGCCTTTACATCCATATTCCAGGCAATAGGAAAAATTAAAGGAAGAAAACCTTAACCTTCCTAGAAGTCTCACACATTATTTCCTCTTACATCCTATTGGCCAGAATTTAGTCACATGGTTACATCTAGCTATGAGGGCATCTTGGAAATGTAATCGTTTAGCTGGGCGTATATCTCAACCAAGTAAAATTGGGGTTACTAAAAAGCAAGGAGAGAATATGTGTTGGGATAGGACATTGCAGTCTCTGCTACCCTTGAGATGCCATTTCTCCTCATGTTATTAAGTAACAAGATCATTAGAGTAAAACCAGTATTATCTGGCCCTTTATCTGGAAAGCTCTGTGAAATGGTATTTGTAATATTAAGAATAAATGATCTACCTAGTAAGTAGTTACTATAACTTTGTAAGTTTGCCAAAACCCAGTAATTTCCCAAAAATATATTTTGGTGATATTCTTAGTCCTTTCTTTGTCTTCATAAGAGATGTTATCTAACTTATTTAGGTAGGTCAATTTTTTTTTTTTCCTGTCTCCTGTGGTGACTTAGAGGAACCAGAATGATTCTCAGCTGTTGCTAGGATCTGGCATCATTGTGTTTTACCAGAGCAATAAGAAAGTGGTTAACTGGCGCATCCACAATTCCTGAACATAATTTCCTAAAATATACATTGTATTTTATTCAATCCAATAGGTATGTTTTGAAAATGACATGTAAATCAGATATAAATTATGTTAAATGTTCTTGTTGACTTATAGTTTAAGAAGGTTTTATTCTTCTCTGATGGGTCTTGGTGTTCTTATTTTGTTATTGTGACCCAGAAATTTCTGAGAGGTGGTTCTTAACATATGTCCCTTCATAGTTCATCATTGAAGTGATAACACATTTTGTATTAGGAGGAATTGAGGTTGATCGTTCATTTTCCAGTTTTTCTTTCTGGCTGTCCAATAATTGCCTGTTAAAATTTATTTAGATGTTATTACATCTAGATGTGTTTTCAAATAAAAGTACAGCAGATTCTCAGCATCATTTTATTATAATATTGATGAGGTGCCATAGGAACTTGGTATTTGTTTATATCATTTAGCCTGTGGTAGAATTCGTCTTATTATACATAGTTTTACCAGGAGCAACAAAGAATGCCTAGGACTCAGATTTTACTCGGTATATAGAAAAGGCTGAACTTGGTTTATTTCTTTTGTCTAAGGAAAGAAACAGCAGAGCTAGGAGAACTGAAGAACTGCATGGGTACCTGACTTGCACTGGAATTCTAACATCATACATGACAAAGTTGAAAAATTGCATTTTCATTTCAGATAAATTAATTTTAATTTCCAGGTTGTTGTTTTTTTACTATATTTTTATTGATTTCAGAGAGGAAGGGATAGGGAGATAGATAGAAACAGCAATGTTGAGAGAGAATCATTGATTGGCTGCTTCCTGTATGCCCCACACTGAGGATCAAGCTCACAACCCAGGCATGTGCCATCACCGAACTCCAACCAAAGTAACAAAATAAGTCCATTTGGCTTTTATTTTATATGTTTATAAGTTGACACCCAAATACCGAGCCATGCCGGCTGGGCAATTTCCAGGATTTTGTTTTTTTAAATATATTTTTATTGCCGAACCAGTTTGGCTCGGTGGATAGAGCGTCGGCCTACGGACTGAAGGGGCCCAAGTTCGATTCCAGTAAAGGGAATGTACCTTGGTTGTGGGCACATCCCCCGTAGGAGGTGTGCAGGAGGAAGCTGATCGATGACGCTCTATCCACTGAGCCAAACCAGCTAGGGCTCCAGGATTTTTTTAAGATCTGTTTAATTTATCTCCATCAATGTGAATAAAGAATTTATTAATTCTAAAACCAAACACTATATTCAGAATCTTTGTCATTTGCTTTCATATTGATGGGGTATGTAATTAAATTCCTTTTGGATAAAATTGCCCATTAAAATTAATTTAGATGTTATTATATCTAGATGTGTTTTCAAATAAAAGTACAGCAGATTCTCAACATCATTTTGTTACAACATTTTTGACTTGCCATAGGAACTTAACTCTTGTTTATATCATTTAGCCTGTGGTAAAATTTGTCTTGTTTACATTGTTTTACTTAAAGTTAGGGAACCTATCAGTGATATTAAGTGAGGACTTATTGTATGCTAATTTATCTATTTGTCCAATAGTAATTGAATACCTAATATGTGGTATAGGTTCTGTTCTGAAAGCTGATGATGCAGCAATGAAATGTTGTCAGAAGCTTTGTTACTTGCTTGTAATAACAGTAATAATGTGTGTGGAAGTAATAACAGTAATAATGTAATACTGTGTGTGTGTAAAATAATATATTTTTTAATATGGATTTTTCCTCTTTCTTCCAAGTAAGACTTGCAAGGCCTACTTAATATCGGAGGATTGTTTCAGTGGTTTCCTATTGAGTTACTAGAAAAGTATGCATTCCCGTGGGACAAATGATGTAAGAAAACCACATGACTCATTAAGTCCCTGTCTTCTGTGTCTCAGTTCTACACCCTTTTAGATCGGGCTGATAACCTGAGATCCATTGGTGGATTTTAGTATTCTGCAAATTTCTTGATATTCAGGTAAAATTTTGCTCCTGTGTTTTGGTGAGGGAGAGTACCTATAAGTTTCCAAGCAAAATTTATGATTTCCCCCTCCAAAAAATTTTTAAAAATTCTTAAACATTCCTTAGGCCTCTGTCACTGATCTGCCATCCAGTATTTGAGTATTATCCTCAGAAATCTACATTGGCCACATTAATTTTGTTAAAAATTTATTCTGGCCCTGGCTGGTTTCTACTGTGGTTAGAGCATGTGCCACGGACCAAAGAGTTGCAAATTCAATTCTACTCAAGGACATGTGCCTCCATTGGAGGCTCGATCCCCGGCCCCAGTCGGGCCCATTCACCCTCTTCCCTCCCCTCCACTCTCTAAAAAAATATATATGGAAAAAATATCAAGTGGAGATTAAAAAATAATATTAATAAATAAAAATTTAAAAATAAAAAAATATATATTCTGTTCCCAGAATGTTTGTTAACTAGAATAACACTGAAATCTGTCGTGTAGTTGCTTTTGAAGTGAATAATGTGGAGGCCACAGTTATTAAACGCATATTTATCAATGTCTTTCAGTTTGAACAGTAGAATTTACTCAGCTCCGAATTATTTATCTAGTATTGATCAAAACCTGAATGCCACTGGTTTATAAAAT